CACGACGAAGGGACCGCTGGTTGTCAATAACCAACTTCTCAATTTCAGAGCCAATTTCAACTTCACAACGAAGGATATTGGACTCCAGACAACGCAAGTTCAACTTCACGACGAAGGGACCGCTGGTTGTCAATAATCAACTTCTCAATTTCAGAGCCAATTTCAACTTCACAACGAAGGATATTGGACTCCAGACAACGCAAGTTCAACTTCACGACGAAGGGACCGCTGGTTGTCAATAAACAACTTCCCAATTTCAGAGCCAATTTCGACTTCACATCGAAGGATATTGGACTCCAGACAACGTATGTTCAACTTCACGACGAAGGGACCGCTGGTTGTCAACAAATTTTCCCAATTTCAGAGCCAATTTCAACTTCACAGCGAAGGGTATTGGACTCCAGACAACGCAAGTTCAACTTCACGACGAAGGGACCGCTGCTTGTCAACAACAACTTCCCAATCTCAGAGCCAATTTCAACTTCACAACGAAGGATATTGGACTCCAGACAACGCAAGTTCAACTTCACGACGAAGGGACCGCTGCTTGTCAACAAAATTTCATTCAGAATCAATTTCAACTTCACAACGAAGGATATTGGACTCCAGACAACGCAAGTTCAACTTCACGACGAAGGGACCGCTGGTTGTCAATAAACAACTTCCCAATTTCAGAGCCAATTTCGACTTCACAACGGAGGATATTGGACTCCAGACAACGCAAGTTCAACTTCACGACGAAGGGACCGCTGGTTGTCAATAAACAACTTCCCAATTTCAGAGCCAATTTCGACTTCACATCGAAGGATATTGGACTCCAGACAACGTATGTTTAACTTCACGACGAAGGGACCGCTGGTTGTCAACAAATTTTCCCAATTTCAGAGCCAATTTCAACTTCACAGCGAAGGATATTGGACTCCAGACAACGCAAGTTCAACTTCACGACAAAGGGACCGCTGCTTGTCAACAACAACTTCCCAATCTCAGAGCCAATTTCAACTTCACAACGAAGGATATTGGACTCCAGACAACGCAAGTTCAACTTCACGACGAAGGGACCGCTGCTTGTCAACAAAATTTCATTCAGAATCAATTTCAACTTCACAACGAAGGATGTTGGACTCGAGACAACACAAGTTCAACTTCACAACGAAGGGACAGCTGGTTGTCACAAACAATTTCCCGGTTCCAGAGCCAATTTCAACTTCACGACGGAGGATATTGGACTTGGAACAATGCTACTTACTTGGATTTCAACTTCACGACGAAGGATATCCAATTCCAGACTCAACTTCACAACGAATCGGCCGCCCGCGGTTTCAACTTCACGACGAAGGGAATCGTGCATACAAGCAGCATCCATATTTAGATTGGATTTCAACTTCACGGCGAAGGATATTCAACTCAAAGAAGGAGTGTCTGTCAACACACTTTCTAGTTTCAGAGTCAATTTCAACATCACATCGAAGGATATTGGCCTCGAAACAACGCAACTTGCATTGGATCTCAACTTCGTGACGAAGGATATCCAATTCTCAGGCTCAACTTCACGACGAATGATTCATGCTCAGAATTTTCCAGTTTTGACTCAACCTCACGACGAGGGAGTCATTTCGTGATTCATATTGACAAACCAGTTTCAATATCGGATTTCAACTCTACGACAGAGGATGTTCGATATGACCGAAATTTGTGTCTTTAATCTTTGCTCTATTTTCGTTACACGATAATGAGCAAAGAGGGGCAGCTGTAGACACCAAATTTTGACATTTTCCATTCAATTAAAATTATTATATTATATATATAGTTATGTATTTATTTTATAATACACATATATATACATATTATTTTACATTTTACAGGCCCAACAACGGGTGGCCCAAATGCCAGTCAGTAGCCCAGCTGGTCCAAACCCGTGACCCAAATAGCAGAAAACTAGGGTTTTCAAAACCCTAGTTCCAAGATCCATCAGCGCCGCGCTCCACTCACCGTGGACTCCTTGCCACTCACGCATCTCATCCAAGCCAACATCGTAAGCTTCCCTCATGTTCCACATCCCCAATATCGGTTTCCTCGGCAACAAACCAAATCAAGAAACGTGCAAAAAACAAAGACCAGTGTAGTTAGGACTCTAAAAATAGCATATTTTCTTCAGTATAAATATTGCATGTAACTTAGATGAGGGGGAGAGGTTTTTTTTTACAGACAATATCACATGAAAATGCTAGAAAATCCTAAAAGGAAATACGGGCATTTGTAAAGTTTTTGACAGAGAAATAAAAGAAAGATTGTCTTTTACCTTATTCGGTTGTTATTGTTGTATGCCTTCCAATTCTTGTTTTGTTTTTGAACCCGAATAACCCAAAAGTGGGTTGCGCCGATGATCGGAGGGGGAGGTGGTCGAATCTTCTTTTTTGGATCTACACCCCTACGAGGCGAATTTTGGAAAAATATGTTGATTTTCAGAACGAGGGTACAAGGATCTTTTGAAAAAATGAAAGCTTTTTCAATTTCGCCGCCGATGAACGGCGGCTGGCGAGGTAGCGTACGGCGGAGCGCGGCTGGGTTCTGGGTTCCTCATGATTACCGGCCACCTTTGTTCTTCAGCATGAAGAACAGATGAGAGCAAAATAAAGAAGGGGGAGGGGTGCTCTCGTGGAGAAGAAGAGAAATGAGGTTTTAAAAATATATTGGCTTTTATAGTAAAGCCCACAACCCGACCCGATAACACAAGCGGATACGCGTGTTTTTGAATAAAATAGGGTAAACTACCCTTTTGGTCCCTCTGATATTTCAGTACCTTTATTTTGATCCCAAAATTGAATTTAAACCCGATTTTCTTTTAATTTGGCCATTTGATTTGTTTTTCTTTTCAATTTAGCCCCTATTAAAAGTCAATTAGTGTTTTAGCTTTTAAATTTTATTTTATTTATTTTTTACATTATTTAACATATTACGTTTTTTGTTTATTTTATTAGTATTATGGTATATTATATATGTATACGTTCCATACTTCATCGTATTTATATTAATAATTTTAGTTATTACTTTGTGTATTATTGTTATTGTTAGGAATGTGATCTTAATTCCCTTAAGTCAAATTTTTTGCCGTGTAAACAGATTTTGGCATTGTATTGTTCAGGAAATTCAATGAAAATGGAATCCAATGCTGTAAATTTCTACTAAGTGGTTCCCACGTATATGTTACTTTATGACTATATTCCAACAAAGCAACAATTATTTTTTTTGTTTCATTTTAAATTAACATAATTTTTTTGTTCTTTTCATCATACATTTATTCATTTGTTTATTGATTTCCTTTAGAATTTAGATTTTTTTTAAACCGTTTCCCCCTTCTTTTATCTAGCTTTTTTTTAATTTATATTTTATTTTATTTTCTCATTTTGATTTATCTAATATTCCTTTATTATTTCCTATCTGACATTTTGACTTTTGAAGGTAATTTCATTCGATCAAAGGTAGGTACTTCGAATCGGATAATTTAATTTTTTTTTTTTATTTTCACAATTAAAGACAACCGACAAATTAATTGGTACCGAAAGGGCGGTTCAAGGGTGCTAATCCTTCCTTGACCGTAACCGACTCCCGAACCCGATACGTTTCTGGTACAACGCAGATCAGGTAAGATGGTGTCCGGCCCACCTAAATTCGTTTTAAAGTGGTCGGTGGCGACTCCAATCCACATTTTCAAGTCGAAGCCCAATTCCGGGACCCAACCGAAAGACGGTTACGACACATAAAAAATATGTTTAGTGGTAACGGAGACCCACAAACTTTTGGGAAAAATAATTAGTGTAGTCTCTGAACTTTTTTTGTACCAAATGTGATCGTTAAACTTAGAAAAAAAATTAATCTAACCCTTTGAACAACAGAACCAAACGTTGACTGCCACGACTCTTACATGACAATTCACAAACTTACATGGCAATCTACAATATTAATGTGACAGTTCACGATACTATTGTGACAGTACTTGATGGACGATGATGTGATAGATGAACTTAATTAATTATTTTAGAAAGTGCGAGAACTTATTAAATTTTAAAAAATAAAAATATAAAATATAAACAATTATTAAGATATTCAATAAATTAAATATAAAAATACTTCAAAATTAAATTATTAAAAAATTAATTTAAGGATTACATCGAGTGTAAAAAAGTTTAGGGGCCATATTGATTTTTTTTAACAAAAGTTTGATTGTTTCAGATACCATTAAATCAAAAAATTATTGTTAAAATGATTTAAAAATGTGTAACTTAAGTTAAAAATCTATCCATATAATATTTCCTTATTTTTTGAATTTTCAAAATAATTTTAATGAAAATTTTGAAAATATTTTTTTATGTTTTCAAAATTTCACTTATTTTTGTTTTTATTTTTCAAAAACCATTTTTCAATTTTACAACTAAACACATTTTTCAATGTATTCTATTTTTTATGAAAATAAAAATGAAAATAACGTATATTTTCTAAAATCAAACGAATGTTTATTCTCTTACCACTATATTTCACACATGTATATATCATGAATACTATATTGTTTCATGCAACCTAATGATCTTAAAGAAACAAGGTACATGTATTATATTCATTTGAAGGGTTAAATTTTGGAGTAACAAATGTTGTTTTACTACATGAATATGATTAACAACAAAATTTATTGTAATCTGCAAGTTGAAAAAATTCAGCATCAGTACTGCCGGGGGGGAAATGAAAACAGAATCAAGTTCTACATCTTACAAATCCTTTGGTAAAACCCTCTTCTGAATCCCCAAAACTGAAACATGAGACTGCCGCTAGAATCCTCGTTTTGTCATCTTCTTAAATTCTTAATCCATGCTTCTTAAGTACGAACCCCTCTACATATATGTTCGATTCAAGTAATGTGTCCCAAAGTTGTCATGCACCCCACAACTGCAACATCCCTGAAACCCTTGTCTGAAAAAACAAAAAATTAATGAAGAAAGCGTTTTCTAGGTTGAACAACAACGTTTCTTGGTTCCATTATCCGACATGTTGTTGACGTTAATGGTTGTGCCTTGAGGAACACCGGTAGCGGAAGCTGCCTCTTGTGCTGCCAATGCCTTTTTCCTTATTATCTCATAAATATCCAACAGAACCGTCTGAAATGCTTTCTCGATGTTGTAGGCTTCCAAAGCCGACGTTTCCATGAACGACAGACCTTCGCTCTCGGCCAAGGCTTGAGCATCCTCCGTCGAGACGGATCTAAGATGGTTGAGGTCCGACTTGTTCCCGATCATCATGATGACGATGTTCGAATCGGCATGGTCTCGGAGTTCGCGAAGCCATCTCAGGACATTGTCGAAGGTTTGCCTTTTGGTTATGTCGTAAACCAACAGTGCCCCGACTGCACCTCTATAGTAAGCACTCGTCACGGCTCGATACCTCTCTTGACCTGCCGTGTCCCATATCTGTGCCTTAACCGTCTTCCCTTCCACCTGAAATTTTGCAAAGAAACAGCTCCTAATACATTGTCCCAATACTTGATGTATCTCACACGAATATGTATATTGTATCTAACACGAATATACCTATAGTTGAAAGAGCGTAAATAGACGGTTGAAATTAATTATCTCCTACCTGAAGAGTCCTTGTTGCAAATTCAACACCGATGGTAGATTTAGACTCCAAATAAAATTCATTTCTTGTAAATCTGGAAAGAATATTTGATTTTCCCACACCGGAATCTCCAATCAATACAATCTTAAATAAATAATCATATTCATGATCCACTTTATATGCCATTTACACTTAAGATAGTCCAAAACCTGTTAACAATGGGAAAAAAACAAAGATTTAATTTTCATAATATCAAAAAAATCCGACTTAACAACTACAACCCAATTTTTTAATTCTAATAAAAATGTTTATCATTTTTTTTTCTTGAGAAGCAAACAAGAAATTAATGAAATAAACTAACCATAAAATGATGATAGAAAATAAAGATTTGGTTAATGAAGGGAAATGGTGTTTGTGTTTGGGTGAAAGTTGGTGCATGGAGCGGGAAAAAGCTCGTGAGAAGGAGAAGAAAAGAAAGGGAAACATTGGTTTTCCATAGCCAAAGAGAGAAAACAGAATAACGTAGGAAAAGGCACGTAAAACGGTCTTTCACTGGGATCTCATCAGCCTAAATTCGTCTGCTTTCAATTTTAAAATAATTTCCTTTTTTACGTTTTGTTTAATATTTATCAATGATTGAATTACATATATGATTTTTTTTTTTTTGTATTTGGTTGCCCAACTTTTCAATATTAATAGGTCTAGGCTATATTTTGAGTGGATTCATGTTATTTTTAATATGTATTCAACTATTGATTGATTAATTTATATTGTATATTAAATAGGTTTATTATAAAAATAACTATTACAATTACAACAACATATTCATAGAGACGCCTTTCTTTCGCAATAAACCACTTATAAAATTACCACTGTTTTTCTTGTTTTCAAAATGGTTTAGAAGATACATTTCTTTTGCAACAAATCGCTTATAAAAATTATTTTTTCAAGGCTTAAAAAAATAGATGTTTGAATTTTACCTCAAAAAATGTTTTGGTGCCTAACGAAATTTTCACGTGTCTATCGTTTCCTCAGTTACACTTTTAGGTGCCTATCATTATATTTTTTAATTTTTATTATTTTTATAATAAAAATATTATTATTTTTAATTTAAAACTTAATTTATTTATAAAAAACCTAATTTTTTTACTGAAATTATAAAAAAAAAACTCTAAAAATCTAAAATCTCTCATTTCAACCTTGTTACCAATCGTCACTGGCCATCTTGGGCCACCATCGTCATCTTCGAACGGTCACCCACCCATCATCGACCACCCATTGATCAATATTTTCCCTTACTGTTACCCAAATCTTCTAAATTTCTAAAATCCTCAATACCCAAATCATCGACAAAGAGGATGGGTTTTGAGCGAAATTGCACGGTGGTTCGAATGGTGGTGGCGGTGTGTCTTACAAATGTCAAGATCGGTCGAAATCGATGAAAAACAACGACGTTTGCTTAAAATCCGATTAACCTTTGAACGCTTCTCCACGGCAAATGGTGACAACTTACGACAAAAAGTCAACAGGGATTTGATCAGGGTCGACGCTGATGCTAATGACAGTTGCGGTGACGGTCACAGCTTGTCGGCTGACGACCATGGAAGGGAGAAAGGGGAAGGGGGTCGCTGCACGCAGTGGGGGGCTGATTGGGTTTTTTTTTAATTTTTAAAATAAATTATCAAAATTATCAGAGCTTGACACGTGTTATTTAACGGTCAAATTTAACAGCGTTATGGTCCAAACACCTAAAAGAGTTCCGATGAAAACATTAGGCATCTAATTTTAGCGAAAAATTCTTTATGCACTAAAATATTTTTCGAGGCAAAGTTCAAACACTTATTTTTCTATTAAACCATTTTTCAATGAAAGTAATATAATATTAACTTGAAAAAAAGTTTTGACTCACATTTTTAAATTTAAATATTTTTAGGTCCCTATTTATTTTAAAATTAGATAAATTAAATCAACCCTTTTTAAATTAAATACTAATTAGATATACGATAATTTCAAAATTAGACAAAATAAATCTAATCTTTTAATTTTGAAATTTCATATTAATGACTTAATAACGAGACATTAACCTTATTTTATCACCATTTATATTTATCTATAAAATGTCAATCCTGGCTTCGTTATTGCTTACAAAGCCAATCCCACGAATGATCACTAACCTTACTTAGACATGTTTTTATCCTGATAAAAATTTCATTTCATGTTGTTATTATTTTATAGTTCTAATATATATATATAGTTTAAAGGTAAAATAAATAATTTTAGAAAATATATTATATAACATATTAGCTTCGGAAATAAATCATTATTTGGTTTAAACACACACACACATATATATATAATATAGTTTTAGAAAACTGTTTAAAAATGTTTTGAAAAACATTATATATTATATAATTTTGAAAACCTTTTGAAAATAATATAGTTTTGGAAAACTATTTTTGACAAATATTATAATATATATTTTTGAAACCTTTTGAAAATAGTATAAGATTGAAAACTATTTTAAAAAATATTATACATTATATAGTTTTGAAAAACTTTTGAAAATAATATAATTTTGGGAAAACTATTTTGAAAAATATTATAAAATATATTTTTGAAAACCTTTTGAAAATAGTATATAAGTTTGAAAACTATTTTGAAAAATTTTAAGTTATATAGTTTTGAAAACTTTTAAAAATAATATACATAGTTTATAATTTATTTTGTTTTTGTTTTTGTTTTTGTTTTTATTTTTATTTTCATATTTATTTTATTTTATTTCACTTTTATTAGTTGTATTGTTGTCGTTAGGTCCAAATCGGTCTAAGTCCAACAGAAGTCCTTGTCCAATCCATCAAGTAGATCAAGTCCAACAATTAATTAAAAAACAGCCCAAAGATACAAGCCCACGTGCAAGGCCCATGTGAAAACCCAAAGGAAACTAGGGTTTTAGATTATTTCTCCCAGCACCGCAGCACTAGATACTTTGTATTTGATACAATCCAACGGATGAGATCATGAATGGGTTAAGGTTTGTAACCCTGGGATAAAGCAAACATGCACAGCCGAAGGACAACCGTTGGATTTGATCTAACCCAACAACCCAGATTGCAAGCAAAGTAGGGTTTTATCATAACCCTAATCAAATCAGATCACGCAACCATATCCTGGCCGTTGGATTTGAACCAATCCAACGGTCCATATTACAAAAACAGATGAGGGTTTTGTAACTCTAAACAAAGAGACGTGTGCAGCCAAGGGACTATCGTTGGATCTGAACCAATCCAACGACTCGTCGATCACCAAATGATCCAACGGCAGATGCATACAAGCATTATACACGTATGGATTCTAGATCCAATCCAGATGGTGACATTTCCACGCGTCTCGACAACCCTAAGATGTGAGCAGGGGTCCTTTTCCAAGTCACTCGAGCGCCCCAATAGTGGCAGAGACGGACAAAAGAGCGAATCAACATACAAATCAGAGGAAACATGTATTTTTTGGGTAGGTTTTGATGTTTGTAACCTCATATGTAGTCTGGTATTTAAACCCACCAACACAAATTATAAAGGAATGATATTTTTTTCGAAGCAATCAATATACCATATTTTCAGAGGTAGTAATTTTTCCATTTTTATCTTACATACATATACGAAAGAAAAAGCTCAAACCTTTTTTTACCTGAGGCAGTCGAACCTTCTCTGGAGGTCGAATATGCCTGAGTGAGGCACCGTCACCGATGATTGACGATTTGTATGTTAGGTTTAAGGTTTCATTCATGAGGGTTTCAAAAAATGGGTTGTTGGGTTTCATCAGAGAGAGAAGAACAAAGAAGCTTGGGGAACTTTTGAGGTTTTCTTAGGGAGTTTAGGGCTTTGTTTTGAATGGATAAGGGTGAATCGAGGGTTTTAGGTTCATTTCGGTCTATTTCGGGGAGCATTTAGCTTTCTCGACCACCACGAACGATGGTCAAAGCAAGGAGAAGAGGAGGTCGGGGAAGGTTTAAGAGAGTTGAGGGAACTCTCTCATATTTTAAGGTTAGTTTAGGGTTATAATTAGGCTTATATATGTTGGGTTTTGGGCTATTTATTTTTAGGTCATCGAGGCTTTGGGTAAAATTGTATTTAGGTCCTCCCACTTTCAGTATGATTTTACAAAATAGTCACATGTACGGTTCATTTTTACAAAATATACTAACTTAATTTCTAGTTTGTCTTTTGCCTTGCATTTTCATTCTCATTACATAAACAGGGCATGATATTAGTAGGTATTGATCCCTGAATTATTCAATTATTCATTAGAGGATTCTTAAAGTTGCAATGTCTTCCAAGGGGCTCGAGAGAGTTACAGAGATTCACTATGGTCCAAATTTATACAAGCTAGGTATGGGGACAATCTTATGGCCAGTGAAGGTTCTAAACTACCTACAAAATTAGATTTGTCCAAAAAATCACTAGGTAGAGCTCTTGCAAAAATGGGAGACTTGGGATGTGAATAAAAAAAGTTTGTTCAAGTTCACATATGGGGATATAGTCGAACTTTTGAAGATTCCGATTGATGCTTCTGTTATTCGAGCCCTATTCAAATGTTGGAACCCAACCTATCATTACTTCACGTTTGTGAAATATATATGACTCCAACCGTCAAAGAGTAAATTACTCTAATGAACATACCAAATATTGAAAAATATTCTATTTATACCAAGATAACCCTACCACAAGGCTTCATAAAAAGAATGGCGTCAATCATTAGAAAATCAACTGAATGGATAACTGAATACATCTAGAGTAACGACATTTCTCGGGCTAATTTGAAGAGTTTGATTTATGAGCAAGCACCGTCGAAAAAGAGAGAGACCTGTTTGCTTTAGCAATTTATGGGTTAGGAGTATTCTCTAAAGAATTGAGTTATATCGATATTGCAGTGATCGATTTCTTTGAATTTCTAGCAAGAATGATAAATCCTGCCATAACTGTGTTGGCAGAAACATTCAAATCATTAAATGAGTGTAGGCAATCTAGTGGTGGTCGATTTAGTGGATGTGTGTCTTTACTAATTGTTTGGTAGTGGACCTATACTTGGCTGGTTGGAAAAGGTTGTACTCGAAGTTGTATGACAGGTTTCTCTCATTTGGGGGATTTTCTCGAAAATTTTAAAATTCCCGATCATCGCAAAAGGAATGAATGGATTGAAGCTTTGAGAAACAT